ACCTCCCTGGGCAGCCTCTGCCAGGGCTCTGCCACCCTCACAGGAAAGAAGTTCCTCCTCATGTTTAGGTGGAACTTCCTATGTTTAAGTTTGTGCCCATTTCCTCTTGTCCTGTCCCTGGGCACCACTGAAAAAAGACCGGCTCCATCCTCTTGACACTCACCCTTCTAGTATTTATAGGTGTTGATAGATCCCCCCTCAGCCTTCTCCAGACTAAAAAGACCCAAGTCCCTCAGCCTTTCCTCAGCAGAGAGATGATGAGAGGCCCCTCATCATCTTTGTAGCCCTGCATTATCCAGCCCACAAAACATATGAAGGAGAGGAAGATGGGCAAGTGGTTATCTTTCTCCATGAAGGGGAGGGTTTTTTACTGCTAAAAAAAGTTTAAATGTCAAACCATCTGTATAACCCCTCATTCTCTGCTGCTCTGTTTCAGGAGAGCTGGGAAATGGATGATTTGAGGATCCTGTGATTTCTCTCCCTTTCCCACCCTTGCCAGCTGGTTTAAAGTTACTTTTTCACCTGTGGTTTTTTGGTGTGAAGAAGTGTTGTTGCAAGTTGTTGTCTAAGAAAGTTGTAGTTTTTGCTGCCTCGTCACTTCCATCAGCAGCTATTGCTCTGAGTCTTGAGAGAAAGCAGCAGAGGAATTTAAAATAATCTGTTCTTTATTGTAAGCTTTCAGTTGCCATGGGCTTTTTGTTTGTTTGGCTCAAGATAATAATGAAGATTCATAATTTGGAGGAATTGCTGCCAACTTTCTCTCTCTTTAGTAGAGAGAGAGAGGAGGTCTAGGTATGTTGCCTGATCTTGCTTTTCCTCCAGATAGTCAGATGTACTATGGTCTGTTGGGAGGGAAAGGTCTTTTCATGAAATCATTTTATAATGATTTCTCTGTTGGTTTTCAGAGCTAGCAGAAAGCAAGCAATAAATTCCTAGTTTAATGACTGTAATGTTTTTATAAATGCTTATGTCTACATATGTTGGAAAAGGGTTTGTCTCCATGCTTGATTCTTCTCTTCAAAGATTCGGATTAATCCTAAAAGTGTTTACTCAGATGTGATGGATTACAACTGGATGAAATTACAGTGTTGTCAGATTGACTCATCATCCTGCTTCCCTCCCCCAGCCGAGAACGTTGGCTTCCAGCTCTGAAGGGCTTGCTCGTCGAAGACCTGGGTTTTGCACAGATGACATCTAGAGGGTTTTGGTAGCTGGGGTTTGAGATGATAATCAAAGGTAAGAAGAAAAAAACAGCCAGGGGGTAAGACTGAAGCTGAAGGGAAGGAAGAGCAATACCTATCTCTCTGACTTATGTCAAGCTTTGTGCCACAAAAGAGGTCATTAAGTGAGATGAGGAGAGTGTTTCAGGATACATCAGCTGGCCAGCAGTTTGAAATGTCTTGGTGCCACGTAAAGCATTGTCCCAGCAGCTGGAGCACGCGGTGGTGAGAGATTATCTTGGTGTGCTTGTATCTCCCACGCAGTCTCCAGGTCTTCGTGCCTTTCACAGTCAATGGGGAGGGTGTTCCTTGGTGGCTGAATGTGCTGCACCCCCATGTATCCCTTCGCTCTGTATAAAAGGGGAAAAATAAAAATCGCTTCTCTGTAAAGCTTTTTCTAGTTCTGTCGTTGATGAGTAACAAGACTATGATTATTAGAAGCAGGTTTTATTTTGTAGTCTTCTAAAACACTCTAATCTTAGGAAGAGGGGACTGTAAATGTGAGAGAGCTTGGACTGAAGGCCTCCAGGAGGACAGTATCTGTTTCTGAATATTTCTGTGTAATTCTGTGGGAGTTCTCATGGCAAACTGAAGAGGAAAATTGTTCTTTTGCTGTCATCAGCATTTTGCTAAATACTATTCATTTCCAATAGCTAAAATAGCCTGAATACTATGAGTGCTTCTTACTAACCTATAACTATGTTAATGCCTTTCTTGCCACAATGGTAGTTTCTTTCGGTAAAAAGCCAAAAAAAATGCACACTGGAGAATGCACACTGCGAATGCAGCTTCCCTGAGAAAGTGGAGCAGCATTTAAAGGCTGTCTTGCTGTGAGAGGAAAATCTGGTCCGATGGAGGAGTTTGGTTGGGTCCCTTCTGGTGCACAGGGTCTGCAGATGACTTGTGCCAAAAGTTACGTTGAGCTTTATGAAACTGAAAAATAGTTTCAGTAGACTGTGGGATGGCCCTTCTCACAGGCTTTGGCATTTCCAGTTCTGAGCACAAGGGTCAGTTATGTTTGGGTACCATTTGGTGGCGAGCCCTTCTTTGGAATAACAGCTTGCTGTGCCTGCCATTTAACAGTGATCTTAGACAAGGTAGGGGAGATTTGTATCTTTGAATCCTTAAGAAATGAAAAAAAGATTCTGAATCTGGTCCTAAAGCTGAAGATCTTGTCTTAAATTCCTGATGAGAATGTAAAGTAAGGCTGACTCGACAGTAGGAGGGGGTTGCAGACTGGGGGCGAGGGAGGAAGGGGAAGAGGGGGGTTCTTATCTGCTCTTTGCAGACCAGAGCGTGTTATTATCTGTCCGGGTGACTTCAACAGAGATGAAGGAAAACAACGTTTGTGTTTCCGTGAGCAGAAACAAGCACATTCCCTTGGTGAGAACTGGTGGGGAAATTCGCCGCGGGGCCCTGTGTAAAGCCAGGGTTCGGAGGCTGCTGTGGCATCCGTCTCGTAAATCCATATCTCAAGCTCAGGAGAGACTTTCCCGATCACGGTGTTTCACTGCTTGCACAGAACAGGCCAAAGAACTTCCTACACAAATTGGTAAATATATGTATAGGAAAGAACAGAGGTTGTTCTCCTGATTTACGTTTCTGAATTTCAGCTTTCAACTTAATATAGATGGAGCTTTATAGAATGATTTCATTGCTGGGGAGAAAGATGCACTTATGGCACCTGGAGTAGCCATAGGAGGAGGCTTGTGGGCTAGCACAGGCATTTTAACCACTGCTTCCCAGCCCTCTTAAATGCCTACAACTGATCTAAAGTAACACTTATATTGCATTTTATTGCTCTGAAAAATATATGCTGTTTTCCCTGTGTAAAAATCATTAAGGTAGAAATTTTACTGCACTGCTGGGTGAAGTGAGCTGTCACTGAGCCCCTCACTTTGGAACTTGGAGATGACAAACATTGGCACAAGCACTCGTTTTGCAGCAGAAAAATCTAATACTTACACTTTGCCTCCTGGACACCTTTGGTACGTGGTGAGAAAAGCCTGCCCTGGGCTCTCCAAGGGGCTGTAGCTTTATTCCTCTGGTGATTTCTGATGTGGTTGCATTTGCCAGCAGAGAAATTGCTGGCAGATTGAGAAGGTGTGGGCAACGTCAAATGATCTGTTATTTCTGAATGCACGCAGAGAACCCTGCTGATTTGGTTGTATTAGTTTACATTTACTCTCGATTTCTAAAAAGTTTTTTTTTTTTTTAATTTGGAACACAGCAGCTACAGAATCAACAGATTTGTGCACTTTTAAGCAACAACAGTCAAGGCTAAGCTCACGTTGTGAAAGTCTGTCCAGGCTTTGTCATCTCTGAAGACAGCCAGGAGTTGTCTAAAGAGAGAAGAAAGTTGCACTTGTAGCCATGTTCCAGTTCCCCAAGGACCTGTGAGCTCTGTATTTAGCTTGTGGGGGACTAACAGCTGTATTTATTCCCTGAATAGCACGAAGAATGATAGCACTGCATGTTTCAGTGCCTAAAAAATTAGTTGTTATTTTTTTCCTCTGTGTTTTCTCCTTCTACTTCCTGGGTGGCAGGGCGGTGGTGGCCGTGGCACAGCAAGGGCTTGTGAGGTCTTTGTGGTGGCTGAGCAGAATTCAACAAGGCCCTGCGGAGACGGGGAGGCAAAGTGAGCTCAGGGTGAAACAGGGCTGGCTGGCTGGGAAGAAAGCGGCTCTCTTACACGTAAAAGAGTTAATTATGGTTTGGGGAGTGGAAAGAGTTTGCTGAAGCTGAGCATTAGTCACATTGGAAGCGCTGTACACATGCACAACATTTCTTTGGCTCTTTTCACCTTGTGCTGAAGATGTAGTGGAAAAAAGAAGATTTTGCCTGACATCTTTCATGTGCAGCTCAGTTACACAACTTTTTAGTTTGGTTTTTTTTTTCCCCTCCTCTCCCCTTTCTTCCACATCTCCATTCTCCAAACTGCCAGCTACGTCTACTACTTGTATTCATCTGAAGTGGGAAGATGTTGAAGTACAGAAGCTTTGCCAAACTTTTTCTGTGGTTTTTATCCAGCTAACTTCTTCTGTTTCTGTGGTTTGCTTGGGGCTACATGTTCATCTATATGGAGATGATGATCAGAGTGGAAAATATGAGCATTTTGTATTTGGCCTAGCAATTACTTCGCATTCTGTAGGAAACAAAACAAACATAAAAGTCCTCCTTACCCTCAAAATATCTGCTTGTCAGACCACTTTTGCAGAAGCTCCCTATTGTATCCTTTTTGTAATGGACTGATAACGAGTGGGTTTATTCACTTGCACAACACTTCTCAAAAAAAAAAAAAAAAAGCATTGTCTTTGTTCATCTTTTCTTTCATTGCTCATCTCTTGTTCCTTTCTGGTGAAATAGTTTTCTCTTTCTCCAATTTCTGCTATTTTGTACAGGCTGAATGGCTAATTTTATTTAAAGGTATTTGTGAAGTGCCTCTGGCAGAGGAGTTTAGGCACTCTGTTCTTGCATCTCTGCTAATTGAAATGGAGAGGCAGACCATGCTTGTATTTCTGGCTGGCTGTGGTGGGTCCATATTTAAGGGGCAAGATGGGAAAGGGGGCTGCTGTTGAAGAACTCCAGAAGATTTGCCCAAAGTTGCTGTTAATGGGATAGGGTATTTTTACCCCTCCCTTCTCTATCTTGCGCTTTTCCTTTCTCTTTGCTTTGCAGGACTGCTTCAGTTCCTCCATCGTCTTGCAAAGCATGTCCGTGTCACAACCTGATGCCGTGGGGAACTGCTACTCCGAGGCTGACTCTTTGTTTTTGCTGCAGGCTGAGTCCTTGGGCTTGAAGACTCATTGGCATAACCGAGATTGACTCTTGGACCTTCAAGAGAGGAGACTTTCTGACGACCTCGCTCCATTCCACCCGACCCTATGACTGGAGGGTTCACCGTAGCTCCGTCCTTTGCTCTCCAGATCCACAAGATGGGTTCGTTCAGAAGGCCCCGACCTCGCTTCATGAGCTCCCCGGTCCTCAGTGACCTGCCGCGGTTCCAGGCAGCGCGGCAGGCTCTGCAGCTCAGCTCCAACTCTGCCTGGAACAGGTCAGCGGGACCCCCCCTGCTTTATCAACACACGTGAATTTTTGGCATTCCCAAGCTTTGTCAGCATTGAAAGTCTGGAGGTGAAAAAATTAGACCTAGTAGTGTTCAGCCTTGGTTTTGGCCAACGTTGTTCAGAGGTACTGTCTTGAAGTAAAACAGAATTGCTCTTTGTTAATAGTTGCATCTTTTAAGTACCATTTAGGAAAATACATTCTTATTACTGTAATAAAGGCCAGTTTCTTAATGCAAATAAAGACATTTATTTGCATATTATGAAGCTTTTACCGCAGTTGAGTTCCTCTGACAACTGCTGAGCTTGTGGCTTCTACCAGCATTTCCTATTGACAGCTGACTCTGCGTGTCATGTGGCAATGGCAACTGGAAAAACAATGTGCGGGGTGAAGAGTGAGATGTCCTGACCCCATCTAATGGTCTGCTGCTACCCAAAGTGGATGTTCCCACCTTCCATTCTGCCACCTTGCACCAGCTCTGCGGTCCTCAGACCCCTTTCTCTTGCTGATTTTGCTGGGTTTGCTGGTGTCACACAGAAGTATCCCAGCAAAGACATTGCAGTTTTGTGCCAGGGCAGTGAGCTGAGGTCTGTGAAGCGGGCAAATGCCACAACTGGCCCACAGAAGGGAATACCCATTAAGGGAAGGCCACCTCCTCTCGTTAGCCATGGCAAGCCTTTAGTCCCGCTGAACCATCCTGTGTGCTGTCACTTTGTGACTTCCTCCATGCTGTTGTGAGATGCATGAGTCAGAAGATCCTCCAACAGCATCTTACAGGCAGTGACGGGGGTTAAAGTGGGGTCTGACTGAGGTGACACTGGCTGCGGAGTGTCTTCCAGCACAGCCAGGGTCCTGCCAGAGGCTGCAGACCAGGTGGTTCCTGCTGGCATCACTGGATAACACAGTGGGATGTGTTTGGCAGATATTGCCAAAAAATCTACATCTCTTTACAGCAGCTAGCTTGCCCCACACCTCAGAGATCGCAGAATCACATGGGGTTGGAAGGGACCTCTGGAGATCATGTAGTCCAACCCCCTGCCAGAGCACCCAGGGATCCACCCAGAGTAGGTTGTCCAGGCGGGCTTGGACTGTCTCCAGAGAAGGATCCCATAAACAGTCCTGTTAAAGACAGATCTGGTGTGAACCTGTTCTTTGTGAACAGTGTCCCTGGAAGAGTTTTCCCTTGCCAACTCTGGGCACAACTTGGGGTTGGTTCTGCTCTGTCTCCCATGGGAGATGGAGGTAAATGAGAGTGGTGATTTCCAGGGGAGGAAGAGTGGAAGCGTTTAAGTGCAATTAACCTCTGTACCCCATTAGAAGCACTCAGCTTTTGGCAGCTAGCTCACATTGTGCTCTGTGTTAAATCATACCGGTGGCTGTTATTTATGGATGTTGTACTGTCTCATTTCTTTTTTGGCAGTGTTCAAACAGCGGTGATAAACGTGTTCAAAGGGGGAGGCTTGCAGAGCAATGAACTTTACACCCTCAATGAAAATATCAGGTAAGTTGCTGAAATGCTTGGAAAGGGATTTTTGTTGCTGCTTGTTTGGTGTTTGCTTGATTTTGTTCCCCTACAGAACCGCAGTCAGAGGATGTTGGTGGGAGGAACAGGGATTGGAGGGAGCTTGAGCACAGCTTTGGGGTTTCAGGCTAACTTGTTTTTTGCTCTTATATGGGGTGAATGGCACGGTGCACTTGGATAATGTTTCCCTGGCTTGTGTGGTTATGTAGTTTTGACAAGGACAGGATCTGTCTTGGCTTGGATTATAAGGATCTTGTCTCCTCCTAAAGAGAGGAAGAGAGGATCTTGTCTCCTCCTCTTTTGGCTGTTTTTTACACATTTTAATCTGGGCATTCATGATGGTAATAACATCTGTTTTCTAAACTCAAGCTTCTTAGGACCACGGAGTGTGTAAAATGAAAGCAAAACACAGCATTTCGTTTAAAAGCTTAATCTTCACATGGTAATTGCAGAGCAAGACCTGAAAATACGAACCCTAAAGATAAAAAACCCAAAAGCCTAACAAATATTTTCTAACACTGATGCTAGTGATGATTAAAAGTATCATTTTGTTTTTTAAAGCAGGTTTCATGATTATCTGTGGTTTCATTCTGATTATTTGGAAAGTTTGGTTAGCAGTAGATAGGACTGTAGTGTAGATCAACAGCAATGTGCTCTTGGCTCCAGCTGCTGCTGAGGGGTATTGTCAGAGCTCTTGGGTGTAGTGCCTCCTCCCTTTCTCTTTCTCTCCCCATCCATATTGATTCATCAGGAATGCTGTCCTGGGGATCTCCGCTTCTCCTTTTATATGCTCCCCCTTCGTCCCTGTTGCATTTTTCCTGAGTGCCAGGATTTAAATGGCAGTTTAGGCTGAGCATGTACTTAAGCAGCAGAATAAACTACCCCTTTCCCTAGTTTCAAAATAAATGCAGCTCGCAGGGCACAAGACTCTGTACTACTTGGGCTGGTCCCAAAGGTGAAAGTTTAATATGATTCCTTCTGAGAGCTGAGCGAGGGCAGTGTCCCATGCTTTAATGGTGTTTTAGTGTGCTCAGGTCAGAAGTCTTCAGGTGAAATTTAAGTACGTCGAACAGTCTTAATTCTCCACGGGATGAGTACTTCTGAAGGTGAAAAGAAAAACAAGTGTGGTAAGACTTTGGAAATAACCTGACCCACAGCCCCTTGCAGGCTTGGGGACCACCTTTGGGCTGCTGCCTGCTTTCCCTGCCCAGCGCAGGCAGGTTCTCCTCCCCAGCCTTGCCAGGAGGAGCTGTGCCAGGAGGAATAGCCACGGTGCCGGGGCTTGGCCCTGGTGGCTGGACCATGCCTTCTTCATATTGGTTGCTGAAGTGGATCTACACTGTCAAGAGCTGGGCAAAGAACAGGAAATTCTTTGTGCACTGATGGTGGGAGGGGAAATGTCCTCTGCCACAGACAGGGACTCCCAGGCAGCACTTGGAAGCACTCACCTTGAAATACGTGATTAATGTCCCTGCAGGTGCTCTGGGCATTGGTTACATCTCCAAATGTCATTCTCTAAATAGACCACTTTCACATTCAAGTAGCTGGCTGATGCCCATCTAAGGAGCCCAGGCCATGTGTCGGTGTGTGTGTTTGTGTGCACACCTCAGCCTCTCCCCTGGGGCTTCTGATGTGGCTCCCAAGGCAGTGCTAGCTCTGTGCATCTCCCGCCTGACACGGGGCACAAAGCCAGACCCGTCAGGTGGCCAACTCCTGCCTGCCATTAGGTTGAGCTGGTGCATTTTCCTCGTTTGTAGCTCTTCATTCAGGTCCTTGGTGGCAGTTTGCAAATGCAGGGTTTCAGGAGACTCAGACTGCAGAGCGCTTAGCCGTTTGGGAATGGGAAACACCAGAGAGTCTTGAAGTAGGACAGTAGTGACAGGACCAGGAGACAAGCAGGTTGCAACATTGTGTTCTAGGTTGCTGCCACCAATTTTTTATCTTGCTGTGATTTGATATCATCTCACTGGATACCTTTTTTTTTTTTTTTTTTTTTTTACTGCTCTGAAAGTCAGTTGTCACAGCAAGAGGAAATGTAAGACATGCCTTCAGGAGATGGCAGTGTGCCCTTGTGGCCGAGAAGGCCAATGTTCTCCTGGGGAGCATTACTAAGAGCGTGGCCAGGAGGTGGAGGGAGGTCATCCCCCCTCTCTCTGCTCTGCCCAGGTGAGGCCCCATCTGGAGCACTGGGTCCAGTTCTGGGCTCCCCAGTTTCAGAAGGACAGGGAACTGCTGGAGAGAGCCCCGTGGAGGCTACAAAGATGATCAAGGGAATGGAGCATCTCTCTGCTGAGGAAAGGCTGAGAGACCTGGGGCTGTTCAGCTGGAGAAGAGCAGACTGAGAGGGGACCTCATCGATGCTGATCAATATCTAAAGAGTTGGTGGCAAGAGGATGGGGCCAGACTCAGTGGTGCCTGCTGACAGGACAAGGGGCAACAGGCACAAACTGGAACAGGGGAAATTCCATTTCAACATGCAGAAAAACATCTTTCCTGTGAGGGCAGAGCCCTGAAACAGGCTTCCCAAAGAGGTGGTGGAGTCTCCTTCTGTGGGGACATTCAAACCCACCTGGATGTGTTCGTGTGCCACCTGCTCTCGGTGGACCTGCTCTGGCAGGAGGTTGGACTGGATGATCTTTGAAGGTTCCTTCCAACCCCTACAATTCTGTGGTGGGATTTCAGGAATCACCTGGCCGTGATTAGGTGGAGACCCCTCCCTTGGGTTCTCTCTAGGGTGCAAGCATTGGGTTGCTGGTCTGCCTGCACGAGGTGAAGTCATGCCTTGGTCTTCTCCATCAGCTGGTGGAGAGCCCCCTGGATTCTGCTGAAGCAGGTGGAAGAGCTTCTGGTGAATAGACTTATCTGGTTTATCCATCTCACAGAAACACAAATGTGCTTTGAGCTGGATGGGGTGAATATAACCACCCTGAGAGAGAGAGTAGAGGCGTGTTGGCATGTGAATAAATGTACAAGTGTCACTAAATGGCCGGGGAGGAAGGTTGCTGTGAGCAACCTCATCAGCAAAGATGAGGAAAAAGTGGTGCAGTTTGGTAGGAACAACCCCAGCCTGGGAACCGCATGGTCCCTGATTAAAATACCATTTTCGAGCACTCTTGATTGTAATTCATGTTGGTGAAAAGCAAAACTCTTAGAACACAGAAAAAACCTGTAAAGTTTTGCAGTGGAAAGTGTTGGGTGCTTTTTAAATTTTAGGCAGAATTTACTGCTACAGAACTTATGCTTACAGTTACTGAAAGCTGAAAGTGCAAATACTCTGAGCTTTGAGAGGTTTGGTTTTTTTTAATGCTTCTTCTGATGGAAAACAATCCTGATTTTTATATTGGAGTTTTGCAATATAAATATGTATTAGAATTTCAAACTTTTGTTACAGCCTGGTTTAAGATCCAACAGTTTTCATCAGAAATTCATGTTTAGAGTGGCTTCTGCCTGCCTGTATTGAAAACACCTCTTGTTAAACTTCTAGAATTTCTTTCTTGAAAAATATGCTTTTTTTTTTTAAATGTGATACTCATGGGGATGCCGCAGCTTCTGCTTGTGTGTTTGCTTCATTGCTCCTTTCCTTATTCTCCCACCTTCTATTTCTAAGAGAAAAGGAAGGACAGCACTAGGTAGATATGCTATTTTCAGTGACCTTAAAGGCATCTTTTTTTTAAACAAAAAGCAGAAAAAAATATGGATTTCAAACTAAATAACTTCAAATTGTCTCCCCAACTTTCTGTGCATTCAGGGGGCAAAGGTGTTTTTTTGCTTGTTCTAGGTGTGTGGCTTATAAATAGAGGACTTCAAGGAAACTGTTTAATTCCTTCATAATTTGAGAATAACCTTTGTGGGCATTTGTAGAATATATATCTGAACGTAAAAGAACTCTAGCTGTGGCCAAAATGACACATTCACATGTAGTCACGTTTCTTTGGAATGATGGTAGTAAAGTGTGGGTATACCTGTAAGAAATGACCAGCAATGGCTATTACTTCACTGCTGCATTCCTTCTGTCTACAGACGGCTGCTGAAGAGTGAACTTGGATCCTTCATCACAGATTACTTTCAGGTATTACATTATTTGCTTGCTTTATTTTGAAATTTGCTATCTTCAGCTTTTTAGCCTAGAAAAAAACCACAAGTCTACGCACGTAGCCTGCAAGTTTTATCCTTGTTTTGCTGTAGAAGGTGATGGAGGAACTGGACTTTTTTAATGTGGGCCATACAGCCTTGGGAGTAATTGCATTTATGGGTATATGTGCTAAATTAAGGATAATTTTCCTTTGTGCTTAAGAAACGATGCTAGTAGCTTGGCAACGTCAAGAAGGAATTCACTTGAACTTTTAAAGTAAGACAGGATACCTTTTCATAGTTTTTTTCCCCCCTATTTCTCTAGCATAGAGAACTCAGGAGTAGGTTTTCTACAACAGGTACCAGCAAAGGGGAAGAGGAAAGGTAACGGCTGTCTGTTTTGGGGGAGGCAGAGAAGGAAGTCCCTATCAGCAGGAAATCAACCTGGGTGCTATCTGCCTTTTAGCCCCGCACATATAAACACAATCTGTGAAAAAGTGAAAAGACAAAGGGTGAGGGAAGACCTGATCAATCATAAATGTGAATAGGTGTTATTGCTTGTCCAGACAGACAGCGATTCAAATGTAACCACATGACAGCGTGGTGGATGATTTTGAGAGAGTGCTGATGGCTTTCAGTGTTACGAGTTGTTCAGTGCAGCGTTGATTTAAAAAAAAAAAAGTGGGTGGCTGCTGAAAACAGGTTTTCTTCCCTTTGAGAGAGAGAGAAAATTTCAGTTCTTTCTGAAGCGGCTGAGGCTGCTGCGTGCTGTGCTAACGGCTTAGAAAGGGGAAAAAGAAGGCTAGGGTTGTTTCTTATCAGCACTAGATTACATGACTTAAAAAAAAAAATCCCCCACGCTGTATGATTATCAAGTGAGAAGGAAACTCCTGTCCCAGGGGTTTCACTTCTTCAGGCACTGTCTGTGTGAGCCGGTTACTGGAAGGAGGCAGCTGCCGGGGGGTTCCGGAGGCGGCGCGTGGCCCCGGTGGCAGCCCGGCAGGACAGCTGGCTGGGCTGGAAACGTACTGCCCCTCTGGCTGATTGAAAAACGGGCAAATCAAAGCTTTTGCAGCTAAGCACACGTGATGGATTGAAATTCGACATGTCTTGGCTGGGTCCCCGGGTGCTGCCGTGCCAGGAATGGTGCGCGAGGCTGGGACGAGCAGAACATGTCCCAGAGGTGACTGGGTCCCCGGGTGCTGCCGTGCCAGGAATGGCGCGCGAGGCTGGGACGAGCAGAATATGTCCCAGAGGTGACTTCATGCCCCTGGAAGCCTGCGTGGACCCGCTCCTGGGGGTTGTGAGGTGCTGACACCTGACTGTTACCCGGTTTTGAAAAGTCAGGGTGTACTGATAGAGGCCTGGGTGGGTTCCATCGTGTTGCTGCACAAGAAGAGCCGGGGGCTGCTGGGGACCAGGGCTAGCATTCAGGTGTGGTGTTCTCTTCCTCTGGCCTGTAAACCCCGAGCCTGTTACAGTCACGCCAGGGCTAGTGCCATTCCCAAAACTCCTTAGAACATACAATCATAGAATGGTCTGGGCCAAAAGGGACTTCCAGAGGTCATCTAGTCCAGCCTCCCCGCAGTCAGCAGGGACACCCCCAACTAGACCAGGTTGCCCAGGGCCTCATCGAGCCTCACCTTGAATATCTCCAGGGAAGGGGCCTCAACCACCTCCCTGGGCAACCTGTTCCAGTGCTCCACAACCCTCATAGTAAAGAACTTGCTACTTATATCCAATCTAAATCTGTTCTTCTCCAGCTTAAAGCCATTGCCCCTCGTCCTGTCACTACAGGCCTTTGTAAACAGGCTCTCCCCAGCCTTCCTGTAGGCCCCCCTCAAGTACTGGAAGGCTGCTCTAAGGTCTCCCCGGGGCCTTCTCTTCTCCAGGCTGAACAACCCCAGCTCCCTCAGCCTGTCCTCGTAGCAGAGGTGCTCCAACCCCCTGAGAATTTTCGTGGCCCCTCATTTTCTCTTAGTGGTGAAATAATTTTCTCTTAGTGGTAGAACTGACACTGAGGAGACTGCTTAGACTGCAGCCTGCTCCCTGCTGGAGGCTGGGCATCTGTGTCGCATCCCTCTGAGCGAGCCAAGGGCACCTGATCTTGTCCCGGGAGAAGGGGCTGATGGCCAGCGCTGTTTTCTGCAAAAGCAGGAGCCAAAACTGTGCTCTTTCGCCCTAATGGCAGGGCTGTACTCCTGCAGGCACAGGGCACAGTGAGGATGCAGGTGCTCAGCAGGGCAGTGCTGCCCGGAGAGAGCCGGCCTTTGCCTGGGAGAGCACTCTGAGGGGTTATCCAGATGTTTTGCCATTTAAACATTTTTTTACTGGTGAAAAAACATTCCTTTCGTGAAGAAAGATATCCACTTGTCCATCTTCCTCTCCATTATATGTTTTGTGGGCTGGGTGATGCAGGGCTACAAAGAAGATTAGGGGCCTGGAGCATCTCTCTTATGAGGAAAGGCTGAGGGACTTGGGGCTTTTTAGTCTGGAGAAGAGAAGGCTGAGAGGGGATATAATTAATGCCTATAAATACTTCAAGGGAAGGTGTCAAGAGGATGGAGCCGGTCTTTTTTCAGTGGTGCCCAGTGTCAGGACAAGAGGAAATGGGCACAAACTTGAACATAGGAAGTTCCCCCTAAACATGAGGAGGAACTTCTTTGCTGTGAGGGTGGCAGAGCCCTGGCAGAGGCTGCCCAGGGAGGGGGGGGAGTCTCCTTCTCTGGAGACATTCAAACCCCACCTGGACACATTCCTGTGGGACCTGCTCTGGGTGGACCTGCTTTGGCAGGGGGTTGGACTACATGGGCTCCAGAGGTCCCTTCCAACCCCGTGTGATCCTGTGATGAGACAAACTGTGAGATAAAGGCTACTGTGGGAAATGAGCTTTTCCCCACTGTGAGCTAAGATGCAGACTTATTTCTGATTCTAGACTGGCAGCACATGACAGTGATAAGAGTCACTGCTCCCTCCTGAATGTCTTTACCCAAAGAAGGTCTGACAACATCATTTCATTTGTCTGTGGGTTCAGTTTCACTGCTGATGCCAGCTGATTTATGGCAGTACTACTCCCCCCAAAATGAGCAGAGTTGAATCCGGTGGCTGATTTGGCTGAAAAATATCCTTGAAAGAAAAACTAAAGTATTCAAACTACTTCCTCTGACTTGTTGTGCTCATCACGTCTGACACGGGGCAGGTTCTGGCGGCGGGTCACCAGGATGGGGACTGGAATGGAAGTGTATCTTTGGCACTGACTTCCTCCTAGTATCTCTCAAAGCTCCCTGAAAAGCTATCCTGGGAACCAAGTTTACTGTTCTCTTAGATTGAAGTGGACCCCAAAGGATCTGCTCTCGTGTGTAACTAGGCAGTTTTAAATATCTTAGCAGCCACTAACGGCACCATGTAATATTGAGATGTGATAAATCGACTTAAATGTTTTCCATTTCTTATACCACAGCCCTTGTAACAGGAGCTACTAAGATAATTTTTAAATTAAATTTTCCATTGTTCTAAGAGTTCTGGCTCTTACATTACCTATATTTATACACACACAGAGGCAAAATTTTTCTAAGCACTGACTGTTTAAGACTAAAATGGAGAGGAGCTTTTATAGTGAGACAAATCTACCTTTGTGATCAACTTGACTTGATTGCTCACAAGTCTTTTTCTCCAACACTCATGCAAATGACCAGTTTTTAGCTCCAAAAATTACTAAAGGAATGTTTAGGAAATGGATGGGCTTTAGGCAGTCTTTCTCTGCTACCAAATCATCATCATACCGGAGTTATTGAGTCTGGTTTGTATTTGAAAGAGGAATGTAATTCCTGTAAGGGTTTTGGTGGGAACTCAGAGATTTGTGTTTATAAATCTGCTGCTTTAGCAACCCTATTCTATATACAAGCCATCTCCTTGGATCGGAGTCTGGGTGTAAGTGCCAGAGAGTTGGGACTCGTAATATTTCCTGCAGATCTGCCTTCAAGCAATGTTTCATGCTCCAGGTTTTCCAGTACTGACTTTCTAACTTTTTGCCATGAACTGGTCTGATTGATAGCTTCCTGTGGCTGAAAAGGGGCGCTTTGTACCCTCTGATCAGTAGCCCAGCAGGGCTCCATGGGCTCTTGCTGCTGTGTTGGTTCTCTGGTGGTCAGCTTAACCACAGCAGGGAGCAATCCTGTGACCATGGAAGAGGCTGGGATTTGGAGGAACAGAGTGTATTGCTGCTTGGGACTTCTCTGGGGCAGCTGTAAGAATTTTTTCAGATAAGCTCCCTTCATTTTCATGCCGTCTCACCCTAATGGTTGTGGAGAAAAATTTTGAAATATAAAACTAATGAGTGTTGATAAATCGTTGCCTTATCTTCCTGGTTCTGCAAACAGCCTGAAACTAAACCTTTTGAAATTATGAACTGTTTCTTTTTACTCTCTGGGGGCTTGTTAATCTTGAAACTCACCAGGGAAAATGGGAATGCTGGCTATTTCACAGCTAACCACTTTAGCAGAACTTCCTGGTTTGGGCACATGGGCTCCTCCCGAGCCAGAGAGACCCCATCCCTTCCTGGGCACTGTCACCTCTCTCAGCACCCATGGGCTGCAAATGCAGAAAGTCAGATGCCCAGAGCTGATGCCTCTCCAGCCTGATGCCTACTGCCTGGTGAGGGAGCTGGGAGGTGAGGGATGGCGAGTGGACTCTATTTCCGAATTTCCTCATTTAATCCAGCGGGAGCTTGGATGCCCTCAAACCAGAAGCGAAGCTGTTGCACAGTTCCCAGCCCACTGCAGTGGAGAGCCATGGGAGGCAGTAATGTCCTGACTCTGGGCTGTGCACAGAGAGTTGTGATTAACGGGGTGAAATCTTGTTGGTGACCGGTCACCAGTGGTGTCCCTCAGGGCTCAGTTTTGGGGTCAGTCTGGTTTTATATCTTTATTGATGATCTGGATAAGGGGATTGAGTGCACCCTCAGGAAGTTCGCAGATGACACCAAACTAGGTGAGAGTG